TGTGTGTGTGTGTGTGTGTGTGTGTGTGTGTGTGTGTGTGTGTGTGTGTGTGTGTGTGTGTGTGTGTGTGTGTGTGTGTGTGTGTGTGTGTCTACGTGCCTGCGTGCCTGCGTGCACTCTCTGCGTGTGTGTGTGTGTATTCATGCATGTGCTTTTGAGTGAGTGTGTGTGAGTGTGTCTTTGCCTGTTCGTGTGCTTGTGTCCGTGTTTGTGCTTGTGTTTGTGTGTGTGTGTGTGTGTCTGTGCTTCTGCGTCTGTGTTGCGTGTCTGTGCTTCTGTGCGTGTCTGTGCCTGTTTGTGCATGTTTGTGTGTGTGTGCTTGTGTGTCTGTTTGTGGGTGTGTTTGTGTTTTGCATGTGTTGCGGGTGTGCTTTTGTGACTGTGTGTATAATATCATGGTGCGTGTTTGTGTGCTTGTGTTCGTGTGTGCATGCTTGCCTTTGAATGTATTCATGTCTCAAATAAAAGTTTCGCGCGCGCACACACACACACACGCGCAAACATATCATGTGTGTATTCAATGTTTGTTGTACAAATGGCACACATCATATACTATGATATGTTGCCATCAATGTTGCTCTGGCATTCAGTGAATTGAAGAGCGGATGACCCCGCCCAGACAAAGCCAAACAGCCTCCAATCCGTCTAGCTTCTTAGAGAGCTGCGCAGACACCCGCTGGAGCCCGTAGTCCAAGGACACCACGTGCTTGGTGTTCAAGGTCTCCTTGGAAAGGGTGTTGGGCTCTTTGAATCTCTCTTCATCCCTCTCCCATTGGAAAGGCAAATGGGAACTCTAAAGGAATTGATCGTTTCGAAGAGCTTCGTCTGCCTTGACACTTCGCACGCCCAAGCTGAATGACTTCGCAATTGACGCTGACAAGGAGGGAGGTTGAAACTGGCTTTGCTGAGGTGACAGTCTGGACTTGACAACCCTGACGGAACTGCAGGGCTCAGGAGCAGGAAAAAGAGAACCGGATGTCTCAACGAAAAGTGTCCGAGCACGCAGAGCTAAGTCGATAGCAAGCGGCCTGCCCTTGCAAGGGGGCCACGCGGACCCACGCCCCCGTGCCACCCATCCGTCCTGAAGCTGCGACAGCCCTGAGGTGAACTCGTCGATGGAAAGCTCTCCATCCTCGTCCACGTCAAGCATCTCGAACGCCTTCCAACGCCAGGCCACGTGGCAAATCTGGATGCGAAAGGTGGGCTAGCTTCACAAAAAGAGCGGGTCGCTATAGGGCCTGTTTTGAAACACTGTGTTTTCCTCAAAATATGCATCTTGAATGAGAAATGCTCCGCATCACTTTGGTTGAATCACTGTTGCATGCTGAACGGAAAGGGCCAATTTGCTTTACTATAAGCTCAAACTTCATGCAAAAGACAGTGTGGACCTCGCAAGGCAAAATGTCCCGGAACGAGCTGGAAGCTTGTCGATAGGGGCGATGCTCGTTTCGAACGCCTGGGCGCATTCGCGCTTGTGTGGCACGTAGACAGACCGCCATCAGCAATGTCTCGCCCAGGCTTGCATCAGATGCAGGGAAGGACAGCCGCTTGCCAGGGCAAGAGTAGAAAAGGTGTACGGGTGGGCTTGTGTCAGCTGAGTTCAGAGTGAAGAAGGGAGGGAAACCCCGTAGACTTGCAAGGCACGGAGCTCTTGACGCATACCACGCTGGCTGCCCACAGTTCCCTTCACGCACGTACGCACAGTTGCTCGCAATGGATGGGTGACAAGTGTGGCCTGCAAATGGCATCTTGAACGCCGTGCTTGCCAACAGCAGCAGCAAGCTCGTGAAAATTTCTGCAAGGTGATGGCCTGAACTTGGGAAACGTGCTGCTTGAAGGTGGCAGTTTGAACATGCGGCCTCCCCAAGGAAACAAGCAAGAGAAGTTCTAAGTCCAAGACGCTGCTTCAGCCACACACGACGGATATGCACGGTCGCATGAATGGCAACACGACTGCGTCAAGCCCAGTAAAGTAAACGAACCACATACTGAGGTTGCTGCGCAGAAAGTAGAGGCGACACTTGGAAACCTGATCATGTTGCCCGGTGGAAGGTGTCTGGACGCCCCAAGCAGGCGCAACACGCAGCTGCGTACATGTGGAACTGTGAGCAACAAATAGCTGCTCGAATCTGCTCAGCATCAGTCAAGACACGGAGCGCTGTAAG